TTTTAGTTTCCACAACTAGGTGAGTGAGCTGACATCAGGAAGACAGAGGCCAGGGATGCTGCTATCATAAAGCCCCAAATGTCAGTAGTGCCAAGTGGACAGCCCCTGATGCTGACCGTTATCATTACTAACGATATCAATTCAGTGCCCTCCTGTGTGCGTTGCTGTACGTGAGAGTTGGGTTGAATTCTTGTCCTCGAGATATTAGGCTGTAAACCAATCCCGATCAGTGGAGTGTAGAATGTATTGAGAAAAAACACAATAATAAATACAAACATGTTTATCACTGTATTTCCAGACACGTTTAAAAAGAAGAGCTGTGACAATTTCTTCTGGGAGATTAGATGTCAGAAGTTCATTAGATTAGATTCACAGTTAAACTCACACAAGTAAGAAAATGTGAGCCCAAATGTGAATCTTGAGTGCTGGTTTCTATAATGTGGACTATATGTATTAGGACCTATGTCATTCAAGTTGATACAAGCTGTAATCCTTTTAGTTAGGTCACATTAATTGCAATTCCAAGGAGGTAAAGATTTGTGTAAGGCTCTACTGCATCTTTTTTAATATATACTTTGCAATCTCAAATTTTAGATTGTGTGACTTCCACCTTAGGTAGCCCCTATAGAAACATGCTTTCTGTGAAAATATTAATTATTCAATGCAGTAATAGATTGTCCTGGTCGATTAGTAAATAACTTGATGTACTCTACCTTTTCCAAGTGATACCTATTTTTATTGCAATGTTTCTTCCCTCAAATTTAAAATTTTGAGAGAAACGCTCAGATTCATTCATTAGTCTCTGACCTGACCTCTTTTAAAAGCCCTACCACCCTGCAGGCCGCCATAACAATACATGTCACGATTTTCATCCTTAGCATTTCCTACATTATATTAAAGTGAGTGGGTCTAGGACATTGTGCTGTTCATCCTGCATCCTCCACCTCTCATAGTCTACTTGAGTAAATATTAGTTAAGTTAAAAATACTAACACTCCATATTTATAGGTTCTTGTGCAAATGGGGAATATTGAGCCAAGTTGAGTTCGAGGCCAGGAAGTTCCTTTAGTCAGAACAATTACTTGCCCATTCATTACATCACAATCACTAACATTTATTAAGCATGTACTATGTGCTAGGTGCTATTCCAAGTTCATTCCAGGTGAGAGTTCACTCAATTCTCACAACAGCCAAGGAGGTGGGTATCACGATGATCCCCATTTTAGAGTTCAGGCACATAATATATAAGTTGCTCATCTGCTAGGTGGTAGGCACTGAACCCAGCACTAAGAATGTGCAGATTAAACAGTACAACCTTTGTCCTGCCCTTAAGGCATTTATAGCCTACAAATAAGCAAATAGAGAACACAGTACACTGTAATGAACATCAATAGAGGCTGTAAAGGAGCTATAGGGAGGCTTAACCAAATCAGACTTTGGAGTTCATTGACAACTTGCTGCTAATCTGAGGCCTGAGGATAAGGGAGATCTCCTGAGAAGGGGCAATGCAGCACAGGGAGTGACGTGGAGAGTCTCAGGTACATAAAGGGGTCAGCCGGCTACACAGTGTCGGGGAAGGTGATGGGGAGGAAGGTTGGAGAGGTGGCAGGAGCCGTGCATTATTGCCTTATTAGACATGTTTAGTTTGCACTTGACTCTAAGAGCACTGGAGGGCCATTGTAAGGTTTTGTTGTTGTCATTTCCCGTTGTAAGGTTGTAATCAGAAGAATGACATGATCATTCTTCAGTGCATTAAAGGATTACATTGCAATATGGAGAATGTATTAGAAGCAAGCAATGCTAGGACCAGAGAGAGCAATTGGAATCCTGCAAGGTACTGGGTAAGAGGTAATAGTGAACAGTGGGGCAGTGACAGTGGGCATGAGGAGAAGAGGCAAGCTCAAAAAAATATTTAGGTGGTATCACTGATGGGAATTTTGATGTGGGAAGCAAGGGAGGTGAGGGAAGCAAAGGATTCTTGCTTGAGCGTCTTGGTAGATGGTGATGCCTGCCACCAAAACTTGGGATCAAGAGAAAGTGGGTTTGATGGGAGTAGGATGGACTTATTTAGGGACATTGGATTTAGACCTTACTGGGAGATATTCAAGCGGTGATCTTCACTAGTTAGAGGGATATATTCATCTAAATCTCAGGATAAAGATCTTGGCAAAGAATATGAATTTATGAATCACAATCCATCAGTGGTAATTAAAGCTGGGGATGATGGAGCAGAAAGATGTATAAGGTTAAAAGAGCAGAGGAGCTGGTACAGGTAAAAAAGAAAAAGGTCACGAAATAGACTGAGAAAGAGGAATCAGAGAGTCAGGAAGAAAATCAGGTTTAAGGTGTCCCTTAGAAAGCCCAAGTAACTGAGATGTCCGTTGATTGGGAATTCGGTAAAATGCTGATGTCAGGTGGCAGAGAACAAAGAGACAGTCAACATAGGCACTGCTTCAGGGAATTTGGAATTGAAGTAGTGAGGAGAACCAGTGAGGGGAGAATGGTTTCAGTGGTGGAAAAGACAATCGTGGTCCAATATTGACATGAAAGTGTCTGTAGTGAAGGAGATGCAGAACATTTAATAAAATGAAAGAGAAGAAAGGAAGGGATGGCATCCGGATCACAGGTGGACACATAAAGGGTGAGCTTTGATTCAGAGGAAGGCTTCACTTCTATGGTAACAGGCATGAAAGATTAAACATGGGTTCCGATGCCAGTAAGTTTATAGGCTTGGTCTTTTCGCCATGCGTGGGATCTTAGTTCCCCAACCAGGGGTCAAACCCATGCCCCCTGCATTGGGAGTGCAGCCTTAACCACTGGGTAGCCGGGGAAGTCCCTAGGCTTGGTCTTTGGATGTTAAAGATGTTTTCCACCTCTTCCTCAATGTTTTTTCATTTTCCTTATCGGAGACGGTCAAGTTGTCTGCTGAGAGTCCAAACTAATTACAGTGAAAAATAGATTCAGGTAATGGGGGGAAATGGAAGACACAGCATTTGGCCTTGAAAAGCTTTCTGTTTCTACCCAAATGTAGGAAACAGCTAATAGGGTATTTGATGAAGGCAAATAAGACTATGTTTTAAAGAATCAATCAACTTGATCATCATAACCTAGACTGGTTTGAGATGAGAGGATGCAGAGACGTGAGTGAATTCAAGAGACATTTTGGAGGTAGAATTCATCGTACTTGGTAACTGACTAGAAAGGGGTGTAGTGAAAATAGGGGAGGTTGGAGTTGATTCCTCTGGGTATGAGTTGAGCGACCGCACAGCCAGAAGAGCCAGTCACTACGTGCTGAGGAGAGAATCAGGACTCAGATTTGGATATTTCCAGCATGAGAAACCTGTGTGACTTTAAAAAGTTCCAATTGTATGGTTGGGTCTAGAACCCAGAGGAGAGGTCTGAGTGGAAAGTAGGTCAGGGAGTTTGTATGAGGAGTCATGGGATTAAACCAGAACATCCCTTTAAGATGCGCAAATCGAAGGAGTGAAGCCAGCATAGGAGACAGACAGATAGATGGAAATCCATGCAGGAGAGCGTGGGAACATGGAGACAAAAAGGACAGGGGCCATGTCGTACGTGACAGAGCAGCCATCAAGACTGAACTGCGAGTGTCCATGGGAGTAGCTTGCATGACTCTCTGCATCATGGTTACAGCAGGCTCTGAGCTAAGAATAGACTGAACTTGAGTCCCCCATAGAGAGATGGGGCTTCTGTGCAGGGTCGCGTTGAAGCTGGGACCCAACCAGCCTGTCCTCGGCCACTGTGAGCTGTGCGAGTGGACGGCGGGATCCAAATGCCGACACTGAAGGAAAATGGGCCCCGACCACGCCAGCTACATTTCCTTGACTAAGATCTGTCCCAGAGGGGTGCTAATCACTATATACCTCATGAGATCAAGCTTCTGGTTCTCTCTCTGACATGGGACCTGTTCAAGGCCCTGGATGGGCCCTAGCAATGTGGTATTCGTCATTTTGTATTCTTTTTATTAAATGGGGTATAAAAGATTGTTAACCTTCAATCTCTACAAAGCCTGGGTCAGCCCCTGATCTTTACCATTACTCATGTGAAAAGAGATTGATGGAGGGTGGGGAGGGATAAATTGGGAGTTTGGGGTTAACATATACACACTACTATATACGTATAAAATAGATAAACAACAAGGACCTACTGTATAGCACAGGGAACTATACTCAGTATTTTGTAATAACCTATAAAGGCAAAGAATCTGAAAAAAATAGATATATACGTGTGTATAACTGAATCACTTTGCTGTACACCTGGAACTAACACAGCATTGTAAATTAACCACACTTCAATAAAAAAACGAGATTGATGGGTATTTTTGTTTATATTTAAGGAAATTGCTAAGCATACCTTTGTTATGTATAATATAGTGTAAATTTAATTCTATCCAATGAATTGTCTTCTAATCATTTAAAAAATATCAAATGGAAAAGCAGCATAGGTTTTACATTTTAAGAAGTACCAGATAAATCCAACTGTCCTATACTGCCACTCTCATGGAGTCAAGACTGTGAATGTAAGGGAATAACATTCATTCAATTTATCACAAACAGAGAGAAGTATCTGTTTCCCTCAGCCACTCTCCTTTAGCTTAACACAAAGCAATATGTTTGGATTGTGACTAGTTTAAAATGTAAACTTCTAAAAGTAAAGCTGCCCAGGTTGGCAGCAAAATATTGGTGGATAAAGACATGAGCTACTTTTTTTTTTTTTTAAGAATGCACTTGGAAGTTAATCCTTAGAGTTACACATTCACAGGTCAGAACACGTGGTGAAAGTGAAGCTTGAATGGCAAGATTTGTTTGATAGAAACAAATTAATATGTATTCCAAGTAGCAAAACACAGAAGAGGAAGAATGTTCATTGTATGGTTTGTTTCAGGACACCACTGTAAAGATTGGTAAACTAACAACCTCTTGTTTGACATTTGCAGGAAGGATGTTGGATGGAATAGCTCTCCTTGGCCTTCTTGCCTTGGATCCGAGGCCTTATTTGGGCATATTGCTCTGCGCTATATGAGCAGATGCACCACAAGAGTAAATAAAACTCTCTCCTCCTGGTGTCTGGGTCCAGATACTCTGAGGTCAGGATACAGCCCTTTTAACCTTCACATACACAGCACAGCAAGCACTGAGCACGGTGGAGGGGGCCTTCAGGTGAGATTATAAAAGCAATTTGGAGTGCAAAGGGCCAAAGAAAAGTATCTTAACTCGGGCTGCCATAACAAAATACCATAGACTGGGGGGCTTAAACAGAGGTGTTTATTTCTCACAGTCTGGAAGCTGGAAGTCTGAGATCAGGGTGTCAGCAAGATCAGGTTCTGGGGAGGGTCCCCTTCCAGGCTTGCAGATGGCCAGCTTCTCACCTTGGCTTGCAGGACAAAGAGAGAGCACTGGTCTCTGGTCCTCTTCTTATAAGGGCACGACTTCCATCATAGGGGCCCCACCCTCATGACCTCACCTAAACCTGCTCACTTCCCAAAGGTCCCATCTCCAAATATCATCACAATGGGTGGGTAAAGCTTCAACATATGGATCTGGGGGGACACAGATATCAGACCATAACAAGAAGCAAGTTCAAAGCAAGAAAAAAACACTACTGAACTTGGGACTATCTGTCCACCTACAGGATCACTCCATTTTTATATGAAAACAATTCTATTGTTTTGATTTCTTTTTTTCTCTCTAGTTTTTTTCTTTCTTTCTAATTTTATTCCTTCTCTCCTCCCTCCCTCCCTCCCTCCCTCCCTCCCTTCCTCCCTCCCTTCCTTCCTCCCTCCCTTCCTTCCTTCCTTCCCTTCTGTTACTGGCATCAACAATTTGCAATTAATGAACTAAAAGTCATTCTGTTTTTGTTTTTCCTGAGGTCAAACCCATTAAAGGCAAATGGGCTTTAAGCAGCCCTTCATCCAACTGTAACTTAATTTGTAATTTTCTATTTCTAATATAGAAAAAAAGCCCTATATGCAGAAAATTGAACATGAATTAGACAATTATTTCCTATTAAAAGATTAAAGCTTAAGGAATAAAAGAATCCAGTGTGTCAAATTAAAAACGAGGGTATATAATATTTTAAATAAGTGTCGTTTAAGCTGTTTAATAGAACCTACCTGAGGGTACATGAGACATAGGTGACAATAATAGTTACTAGAGCACTAATAATTCAACTCTCCAAAATGAAAGTTTTAATTGCATCCTTTAAAAATTTGACCATCAAATACTGTAAAGGTCTTTTCTAGAAAACACGCATGCACATTTTTCTTTATGTAAGTTAGATGCTGGCCAAATCATAGGTCAGTAATTAAATGCTCGGCCGTTTATAAAATTGAAAAAAAGGCATTTAAAATCATTTAGTGTGCCTTAGCCCAGGAAGTATGATATAGCATTTTGCTCCTTACATTCCTACGTATTTCGCCGCTTATTTCACTTATTCTCAGTTATTAATGTTGATGGGACACTCTTTATTGTAATATGACAGGTAATTAAATCTTAAGGCCACCCACCATAATTTATGTTGCCATAGTTTGTAATACTGGAATCAGAATCGGTACTTAAGATGTTCTTGTGTGGGACAGAGAGGAATGAATAGCTTCTTTCTTCTCACTGAAAGGCCTCCTTCTTTCTTCTTCTGTTTAGGAGAGCTTTGGGTCTACAGGAGCTTGACCGGACATTTTGTCTCTTTCAACATCTGACTAGACCCTTTGGAAACTCCTTTGATTGCTTTGCCTTTATTGCTTTTCCCTTAGTCTGGCTTGTCGAAATACTTTATCTTTACATAGACACCCACCTCTGCTTCCTGTTTCAATCACTTCTATGTCATGCTAAAGAGAAAACAACCAAAATAAAATACAATAATTAATGCTGATAGTGTTGGGATCTTTAAAGAAGTAAAGCTCCTTAACTGTCAGCTCATGAAACAGTCTTATTCTGTAGGTTGGTGTGACTTTATACCAGTATAAAAAGCAGAATTGTTAAGTATAATAAATATGGATAAATAAGGAATTACTGACTTCAACCACCTAGGCACTAAAATGGCCAAATTCCTGACCACTCACCCCCTGAGGCTTGTTCTTTCCACAGTGTTCCAATTCCGATGATTGACAATGTCTTCTTTTCAGTTGCTTAGGGATCAAATCGAGTTATCTTTGGTGTCTTTCCTCTCACAGCAAATCCTGTTGACTTTACCTTCAAACTATCTACAACCCAAGTCTTTTCACCACCTCTGTGCATCCCACACTGGTCCCAGCCACCATGACACTGGCTGGATGTCCTGTAGCCTCCAGGCTCTTTCCTTCCGTTCCCCCTTTGCCCCCTTAGAATCCACGCTCAATAGATGATCCTTTTCTTATCTGGGCCGATTGATCCACTCTGCTCAATCCTGAGACTTCTCACACAAATTCAAGCAAAAGCCAGAGCCTCCGAATGGTGGCCTGAGGTTTCTGACCTCACCCCGTTCCCCTCCAGCTTTTGCTCTCTCCTCTCCAGCTACCCTGGACCCCTCGCTGATCTTCCCAACTCAGGGCCTTGGCACTTGCTATTTTTTCCACCTGGGAATGTTCTTCCCTCCTTTACCATTAGGGCTGCTACTTCACCTCTTGCTGGTTGGCTGGTACTCAAATATCCTGACTGCTTTGTTAAAAAACTTCAACCCTCCTATGACATGCTATGTACACATATGATATATTGATACATTGTGTATTTATTGGACGTCTGTATTCCCGTCCGCCAATGACCACCATAGACTGTGAATTCTATGACATCAGAGGTATGACTCTTTTATCCAGTGATGTACTGTCAGTGGGAGAACACATACATGGCACATACATGGACACGCCCCCCCCCCTCCAAAATACTGGCAAAATGAAGAGTTGATAACAAATATTTCTAAAATCTGTTCTTAAAAACGTCTGTAATCCTATTTTCTCTTCCCTGTGGTAGGGCTCCCTTTATATGACTTAAGCCCTCCTGTACCTAGAATGCCCGTCGCCCATCTTTGCCTGTCCCACGGGCTAGCCGCTCCTTCTGCATCTAACTCCCTGGATGACACCTGCTTGAAATTCCCCTCTTCCAGAGACTTACTGGTGCCGTGTCATGCCATGTTTCTTGTGTATTTATGTGTCTTAACTTACATGTATGTTAAATTCCTTTAAAGCAAAGGACATACCTTACCCAGGGCTTGGTGCATCTTGTTATTACTATTTGCTCAAGAAATGCTTGTTGAATGACTAAACGAAGATGTGAATAAAGGGGGAAAAACTGAATGAACGAAAAATGCTGTGCTCTTTAGCAAATAGGAAGAGTGTACAAAACTTGAAAAGGATTTATTTAGAGTTATTAGAAAAATCTCAAATACATATTGATGCATTATGCTGCCCATACTTTTTTTTTGCTGTATGCGGGCCTCTCCCGTTGCGGAGCACAGGCTCCAGACGCACAGGCTCAGCGGCCATGGCTCACGGGCCCAGCCGCTCCGTGGCCTGTGGTATCTTCCCGGACCGGGGCACGAACCCGTGTCCCCTGCATCGGCAGGAGGACTCTCAACCACTGCGCCACCAGGGAAGCCCTGCCCATACTTTTAAATCATACACATCTTGGGTGCTTTTTCATCTGACTGAACTTCTTTTGGATTATTTATTCAGAACTTGTGTTACCAAAGCTGAGTCACATTTTAAAGGTGAAACTTCTTTCTTCCCCCTACCCCAATAATGATTCTTTTTTTCCTATTGGAGGTTAACTTTTATTTATTACTTTTTATTTTATTATCTTTAATTATCTTTGGTTTAAGTAAATTAAACTTGAAGAAGTTTTCTAAACAAAGCCAAACCATTGTCACATAGTTCTTAAAGGAAATATTTTTCTTTTACACACTAATTCAGGTGTTTGTTACACAGTTTATTTTTTATATAATTTAATGAAAGCAATTTATATAACTCATGATTGGACTACTCAGAAAAATGGAATAATATCTAAGCTTTCATAACAGAAGAGTTTTTGTTCTTCAGTAAAGATTACAACAAAAATTCCAACTGGGAAAACTCTTTCCTATAGATTTGTTTTGAAGTTATGTGTATGTGAGTTTATTGTGTGTGTGTGAGTCTGTGTATCTGTTTGTGTTTACACATAAAATATCTGTTTAAATGATATATTTATATGGAATCAGCCCATGTTAAAAAAAAAAAAAAAAGAAGAAGCCTGATGTCCTGGAAAGATTTTTCACCTAGAAATCAATAGACATTAGTTCTTACATAGTAACATTTATGTAACTGCCACTATGTATTGAACGTCTGTTTTGTACTCAGTGCTCTGCACCCATACCTCATTAATCCTTACAATAAATGTGTGAAACAAGCGCTATTATCCTGTTTTGAAGATTAGGAAATGGAGGCACAAAGAAAATAAGTGATGACAATGACAATCATCAGGACCAAAGCCATTCAGCTGATAAGGGTCCATGTGACTCGAATGCCCATGTACTGAAGTTTGCCAACAAAATCTAGCTCTGTCATTAGCCAGCTTTGGTATCTCAAGAAGGTCAGTTGATGGGTACAGTGTTAATAGTGCCCTTTAGAATGACCCAGTAGAGCTGCCATGCTTCTATGAGCCTCAGTATCTTTACTTGTAAAATAGGTACAGTAATAGCTGTTCTGTTATCTCACAGTTGATTTACCATAGAATTTTCACACCATTCAATAAATAACACCAGTGTAAATCGTAGTATTATGGCTCTATTTTAAAGTTTATAAATAGGAGTTTCAGCGTTCAGAAAGAGGTTCTGGGAGAGTAGAGCATCTGCAGAGGACATGGCAGCTCTGCACCCTCACCTCATGCCTCGCCCTGTGCATCTTTTCCATCTGGCTGTTCCTGAGTTATATCCTTTTATAATAAACCAGTAATCTAGTAAGAACAAAAAAAAAGATATAAATATAGTAAGGTCAGTATTCTAATTTGAATTATTTCACATAATTTAGTCTTAGTAGCACAGATACAGTTATCCTCAGATCAAACAACCCTGTTCTGACTACTAATTCCTCTCTTTCCATTATATTACTTATGCACATTAATTTTTCCCATCCTAGATCATTTGCTTCTTTGAGGGAAGGAACTACATATTTCTCCCGATGCCAAGTCTTCCTGGGATGCTCAATTCTAAGATTCATCTAAGTAATTTATTTCCAGATCTGGGATAGTTTGCTCTCAAACGTTTCCTTGGTTTATGTTTTAAGAATTCACTTAATTCCTTTGATTTTCAGGTTGACCCCGCTGCAGCCATGTTACTTCAGACTCTTTCAGATTTCTTGGCTAAGTGCATACAGGGTCATAAACAAATCTTTTAATTATATACTTTTCCTGTTCCTGTTTTTATAAAACATGATTAAAACTTATTTAAAAATACAAGATTTAACTTTTTTATTTCAACTGACAAGAATTGCCGGTAAGATCTCATTTTTATAAACTCAATATTTTTGAACTATTTTAAATACATTCACAATATATGGGCTTAAAAAATCTGGGAGGTGTGAGGGAAGTAACATTACATACCACTGCTTGGAAGAATTCCTGGTGAAAAACGGATACCTTAGACCTACATGGGATGGTATTTGTTATGTAGCCACCTGGTGCGGAGGGAAGAGTTCAAATTCTGAAATTTGTTCCCAGCCTTCCCCTTACCTCACCCATGAGGAAGGGTAGGACTCAGCTCTGGGTGAATGGGAAGCCAGGTGCTTTCCCAGCTGTGACCCAGCTGCATGTATTCTCAGCCTGAACCAATGGAGAAGTGTAAGCCATCTTGAATTAATCATGCTTTTACCTTGTTGGAGGAACCTCCACAGCTGCACTGACACTTGACCTCGGACCGAGCCTTTCTTAACGACTCTCAGGCATGGACAGAGGTGGGGTATGCTAACACAAAACTGCAGTGATGACACTTAATCCTCAGCTGTTACACAGGATGGGCGAGGGTGGGCCTTGTTAAGGTCTGTGCAAACCAGGGATGGAAAGCAGAAACCAGCCTCACATTTGTTTTTTCTCTATTTCTCCATATTTAGTTTAGAACCGACAGTGGACTCTTAGACACGTCAATTCATGAGATTTAATAGTGTAGAGCCAATTACTGATTTTACTTTTTAAGAAACCACAACACCTTCGCTTTGGGTACCATCCTCCCCTGAGTACCATGCACTACCTACCTACCATGTGCCTCATGTGACAATCCTGGATCCTGTGCAGGATAAAAGCGACCTAACACCTATTTTTTACCTAAGAGCCTCTGAGGGCTATGTTAGCTTAACTGGGGAGTAGTTAATAAGTTATCAGGAAGAATTTACCCGTGTATATTTTAACGGTCTTTTATCATATCACCACAAACTATAAAGCAATAAAACACAATAAAGAGTCATTCTAATATTAGTTTAAATGATTTTAGAAACAATAGAATTCACTGGCCAACTGTGTCTGAAAACTTTTGGTAAAAGCCAAAGTGTGATGCCCTTATGTTGACTTTTTTCAATTCATTTCTTTGAAGCCTCGTTGTTTTATGAATGTGTATTGAAATGTAGCTAAAGAATTCCATTGCGGTTAGAACACCTACTTCAGTGGATGCCCATATAAGTAACCTGCAGTGAAGACATACTTTGCACTCTACGCGGTATGCTAGGTACAGAAGTAACTCTATTGAAACACTAATTTTTGTGGCCAATATGAACTTACATCCTTTCCACAAAGGACAGAAAAGTAGATACTAGTAAGTCAAACAAACATAGACATCCCAGTTAATCAGTTTAAGGGCAAAATGTAAAGTCTATTCCATGAGTCTGATGCATTTGCTTTGACAAAATGTGTACTGTATCAGACCAAAAAGCTAGGGAAATAGATTTCTCAACACAAGTTCTATCACCAGGTAGAATTCTATAATAAGCAACACATGAATCAGATGTAGAAAAAGTTAAACCAAACATAATAATTCAAAAGTATTTTTGCTTTAGATTTGGGAAAAAAAGGAAATCAACCTGAATTATTTGTGTTTTAGAAAGTATATGCTTTCAGCAGACACGTAACAACACACACCTACACGTGCACATACACGCAAGTGTACACACACGTAAAGACACATATACACTGAGCATACATTTACATACCAACATAAATTACTGTTAAGTTCACTCTTGGTCAGTAATAAAATGCAAACGAATTTTTCTTTCTCTTGAATTGCTTGTATTTTTGTTCTATGGGCCCAAGCATATGCTCAGCTCATGTGAGGAACACTCAGTAGATAACTGTTAACTTTGACTTAACTGAATTGAATGAGTTCAGGACTGTGTAACAGAATCCCTGATTTAGGGAAAGCCATTTACTTTGGAAGTAGTGGACTAAACGAAGTAAACATTTTTAGTGTCAAATGCTCTCCGTTTTCCGTGGTACGTTCAACAGTTACATAGATGCAGGCACAGGGGACAGAATATTCTAAGGTTGTAAAAGTGTGTTGATCATTGGCTTCTAAAGTAACACCTTTAAAAAACAAAAACAAGTGACTATTTTGATTCCCTTTGTCTTGTTCTACCTTCAGCTTCTCTGACACAGTATCAGTTTTTCTAATAAATCTCTAACACAGGAAGGAAACAATGCCTGGCCTTCTGGAAGTGGGACAAACTGTTAACTAAAGCAAAGTGCATCATTTTGCCAAACCTGGGGAAAAGTTAACATGAAAAGAGGACAAGCTAAAACAATTCTTAGGATTTTGTTCTGTGAATTTCCAGATTTGGCCTTCATTTCCACGTAAAGGCCTTTGTAGAGTCTAAATTTCTCCTTCAAAGCATTCTTTTTGATTTTTTTCTCATTGAGGAATAAACAAACTACAGAGAGGGCTTCTATTTTTTGCTCTTTAGGTTAAACCGGTAGAAGCAAAGGGTCTCTATTTTCCTGAAGTGTGACACCTCCTACATGGAAACGAGGACAGGATAAACTGGGGCATCTGAAGTGACCTCTTCCGGGCAGGATGTGGAAGTGTGATGCGTCTCCTTAAGCAAGACCTTCCAAAATGCTTAATCTAAGGTAAATAATATTTCAACATCCTCAGGTGGAGAACCAAAATTCCTGAAAGCTTTCTTGGGCAAGGAAAAGGTCAGCAAAAATAGCCAAAATAAAGTGGCAAAAACCAGATAAGATTATCACACAACAGACCTAAGAACTGCCTGGTGGTGACGGTCAGACTCTGCAGAAATGTTGGGTCAACAAGCGAGCCATAAGGCAACCAGGGGTGTATGTAGTTTATTGGTCTCATGGAAATAAAATATTGATCAGACAGGTAGTGCCACTTAATAATCTTCAAATGCTTGTCAGATAATTGGTTACTGATTTGAAGAATACAGCAGATAATTTTTAAATAATTTCTTTGGTGTGAAAAAAATCATTTCAGTATAGTGAGCCCTGAACAATGCAAAGAATTGTAAATTGCTAATTCAAGTGATTTTATGGTAGAGTCATAATTCCCTTTTAAGATAGAAACCTTTATCAGGAATACGTTCAGTGTTGGGTCTTTTCTTTGCCTTTTGAAACTATAAAAACAGATGAAGGGCAGAGCAAATGTAAAGAGAGTTACATGTACACAAATCCCCCCCAAAACAGATACATTCACGTAGATTCATAGGATATTTCCTGCAATTTTGCATTTATCATAAAAGAATGGGGAGTCTTGGGTTTTAACCATGGAGTAGATTCGACTCTACTTAGATTCCAGGCACGAATACGAATTTTTCTGCAGATGTAACACTTTCCCAAAGGGAAATCCTTTTGAAGTCTAGGAAAAAAGCAGAGACCCAGGTGAATGGTTTTTCTCTGAGGACTGAGCTTACAGTCTGGCTCATTGAATAATATGGACCAGGTAAGGCATTTTCATAAAACCTGAGATCATGATGATTTTCAGCTTGCTTTTTAGAATAAAGAAAATCAACAATGGTATTTTCTGACATACAAAGAACATCCCTTTCCCCACCATCAATTATTTGTCTGATTTTAGAATCAATTCGGTATTTACCGGACATCAAAATACCTTAAGAAGGTCTCCTCTACTCCGTGTGTCTCTAACCCACTGACAGTTTACTTTGTGTTCAGAATTTGCATAGAGCTGCCAATTGCATGATAAAAAGGAATAGTAAAAGGAGTTTGTTTTTGCTTCTTTGGTTTCAGTTAACATCTGCCATCTTCCTGACCTGAATTCTGACAACACAATTGCTATGAAATATTGGTCTGAACTTAAAACCAGAAATCCTGAGTGTAGGTTTCTGCCAAATAGGTGCTAGTTAGAACCAGCTGCCTGAAGCGGAACTACTAAATGCTTGAAGGTTGCCTCTGATCTGAGCCGGTCTCTGACAGAGCCCTTTAAAAGGAGAAACTTCCAGTGCACAGACGACTCCAGGATGGATGAAGATTTATCTATAGCCTGATCAATGGGTCATTTCTCTTCTTGTTTAATTTATCATTGGGTAGATCCCAAACTTAAGCAGCAATAATGAACGATAGCTATATTTAGAAACTTAAAGCAGTTGTCTTGGGATTTAGATGGTGGTGGGAAAGTGTATGCGTTTGAGGGTGTGAAAGGAAAGGAATGGGATATCAATAAATCCGAAGACTACAATTATAGAACACAAGTTTGGGAAAGAGGCCTTAACTATGGGTGTATGATGGAAATTGCAAGTCAAAACAGTCTCAAGGGCTCCCCTGGTGGCACAATGGTTGAGAGTCCGCCTGCCGATGCAGGGGACACGGGTTCGTGCCCCGGTCCGGGAAGATCCCACATGCCACGGAGCGGCTGGGCCCGTAAGCCATGGCCACTGAGCCTGCACGTCCGGAGCCTGTGCCTCCCACAACAGTGAGAGGCCCGCGTACCTCAAAAAAAAACAGTCTCAAATCACTCCTCGACGTAATTGTGCCACAGGTGACCCTGAATCATCAAAAACAATCAAAAGTTTAACTAATAGAAAAAATTCTCAGTGGGTAGAATTGGCCATGGTCATCTCATTAAGCACACAGTTCTGTTTTCGACATAATTAGTCATCTAATTACTCATCCAAAATTAGTTAGTGCATTCATATGCCTAATTAATTATAATTTCATTCAAACTGCCCTGTTGGTAATGCTTTTGTTCTCTGTTCCAACAAATCAAATTACAGAGGGACAGATTTGATTTGGAAATTGGTTTGGGTTGAGTAAATTGGTTTGGGTTGAGTCTCATCTTAAACATATTAAAATATTAATGAATAAAACTGTGAGAGTATTAATTTCCATAATAAGGATAACTCACCCAAATGTTAAATATTTCCAAGGAACACCGGTTTCAAACATGAGAACCATGAATCTCCTAGAGCCTCAGAGGGCTGAGGATGAAAGAGCAAAATCTGAGTTCAAATATGCCTGTTACTAGGGGTGGAACCCTGTGCAAGTGGGAATGAAAATCAGTGTGCAGCACAGAAAACCTGGGGGTGGAAGGCCGTTGGCTTTCTTATGAACAATACAGACTGTTCCCTGTTGTTGGTGCATTGTTCATGGCTAACCAGGAAAGATTATTCTAACAAGATAGTTTCTAAAAGTTGTTTGAAAGTTAATCTACAATTTTAGTATTTTTCCGGGGAAAAATATTAAGCAGCTCTTTTTGGGGGGATGGACCGTGCACTAGTCACTACGCTAAGCGTTTTGAATTTTGACTCATTTAAACCTCAACTGGCCTTTGAGGAGGGTACTGTTGTTGGCCTCATTTCACAGAAGAGGCGCAGAAAGATTAGATCGTGTGCTTGAAGCCACCAAAGAGAAGCAATAAAAACTGTTCTCTTAGAAAATCAACCTTTGTGCAATCTTTTATGAGTTTTGTCCAGGAAACATCGTGGAAATAAAACACCTCTGACTATGAAGATTGATTATGAAGAATATTAATAAGGATTGGCTCTTTTTTCTCTTTCTTTTTTGGCCATACTTGTGATTTGCATCCACCTTCATGCTGGACCATGGAAAAGGTATCAGACAGTTGCCCACTGCCTGCCTCAAAGTTTGTGTGTCCTAATGGGACAGTGTATGAGATCAGGATCTTATCTTTCAGAAAAATAAAGGATAATTATGGAGGCTCCCTGCTTTGAAGTAAATCTGAATTCTAATAGGGAATGAGAAGATGAAATGAAGAAGAGAATGCTGGTTGCATTCAGCCAATTGCTGTCAGAAAGACAGGAGTGATGGAACCGACTTTGAGAATGCTTACCTAGTATCTGTTACTAACCGCTATCCCGACAAATTGTCCCAATTCCTGAAATACTGGGGTGCTTTAGTATGGTTTAAGGCTGGCCTTGAATTACCACCTCTACCTTAACCTTATAACTTACAGCGTCTCTGGGATTTGTCAACACCCTCCAAAGTAGTTTGTATGCAAGAGTTCGCTGCTTCATGACTTAGTTAAAAAGAATGCAAACTTGTATGAAATATCTGTATTTCCATGCTGGTTGGATCATTGTGAGGCTAAATAAAAGGCAGCATGATCTAGTGGCCAGAGCACTCTAGGAGGCCCGACTTCTAGTCTCATATTTGTTCCTAATTAGCAATGTGACATGGCAAGGCACTTAATTTCCCTGCATCTCTATTTCTCTTTTGTAAGATGAAGGGATTGATCTTTTCAGGTCTAAAAAAATATGACATGAATGACCTGGCAAAAATGATTTCACTTCAATTGCTTTATGCACATAATAGTAATAAAAATAGAAATAATAATGAACACATCATCATAATAATGAATAATAATAATGAGCAACAGGGATTGCTGGAGGGCAATAAGTGAAATGATGGTTTGGATAATATAAAATGACTTGATGAAGGAAATGACTTTGATGTGTAAGCATATGTCACCTTTGTCCTTCCTCTTTCAAAATTAGCAGTTAAATGCATTCCCTGGATGCTTTACACACGAGAGAAGACTGTTCATTTCTAACTATACTGTAAACTGTGTTTAAAAAAAACTACTTTTTACAAAATGGGCCACTGACTCATCTTTGTATTATAGTTATAAAAGGAAAAATTTAAACTCCTCAAGGGAAAGAGACAAAGCAAGAGAACCCAATTACCTGGCTGAAACTGTACAAATATCACTTCGCACACCCAGCCTCAGAACAATAGGTATTGTAATGAATTACCTTTTTCCATGAAAGGCCTCAGTTTCTATCCCCTGGTTTGCTATTTTCTCCTAAGGTTGCCATCCTGTCTGAGCTATAAAGACATGATGCATTGGTTTCCTTTCCTTGTCTCCACCTTTTGAATTTGGTACAAAAATTAAACCATTCATCTTCTTTTTTCTCAAGAGCTTTCTTGCCTTAATGAATGTTTTTTTGAGAAGGAAGGAAAGAAAAGAGTGAAGGTGAAATATACAAAGAGACTAGGGAAAAATCTTAAAGGGGACACAAATGTGAGAGGATAAAGGTGAGAAGGAGAGAGAGTCAAAGCAGAGAATCAGAAAATTAGAAGAGAAGGGAAGGGGCTACAACGCAGGGCTTTGTGCACATCCTTCTTCATTTTTAGTTTTCCACATTCCTCTCTTCCCCACTTTAACCTTCTCTTCCTTCTCTACTTTGGCTTGTGGGCTTCAGAACTCAACCGAACTAGAAAGGCTCCTTGTCATTCTTCCCAGATCCTCTTTGAATGAGGAAATAAAATCAAGTCTATGCATAATTGCTCTGTGCTGTGCAAAAAGCATTTTCCTGAAGGGAGCTTTATCCTGTATTCATTTCAGCTACTAATGTGTGTATAATATGCCTTCATTCCTAATTATTTTGTCACCATTTTGTTAAGTGTCCAGGATCTACATTTGAACTAAGACACTTTACTTACCAAATTAACACAGTTTCATGGTTGATATGTTCAATTTCTCACCACTGGACTTTTTAATTTTCTTTCTTTTTTTGTTAATTAACTGGCTCCTTTCTGGTCCTTTCCCCAAATCATACAAAGAGGTGAATAATACCCTTGTTTTACATTCATGAATACTTCCCATAAATACCCAGGCATTAAGGGTTGCTAAAGAGTGCCCTTTCCTGCAGCAGTGTTTTCGTTGTAGTCTTTCTTCCTTGATTTCTAACCCATCAATGACGTTTATTTATTCACAGGTTAGGATCTTCAGTTCAGTTGGAAACAGAAAAATTTTCATAGCTTTTTCAACAACTAATTGCTTGAACTCAGCAGTCTCAGGTACAAAAGGAAAGGAACTTTGCATTAATGAAAAGAAAAGGGACATCTAAAATTCTAGCTGACATTAAACTATGAAAAGAAGGAAGATAGGTTATTTTTTTTAAGTTGTCAAACAGAAATGATAGAAATGAAGGAGTAATGGCAGAATGAAAGAGAAAGTAATTACAAGACCCAGAATAATTAATTTCTTAAATTCGCTATAGAGCTTATTCATTGTGAAGTACTTTGCACAGTTTCTATCATGGATTAAGGGCCCTGAACACATTTGTTTCTACACAGGAGGATGGCAGTTTGCCTCCTGTGAGATTCAGTGCTGCCTCGGAGCAGATTCCGAGGCAAAGTAACCATATTAATTCTCAAGTTTAGAAATTCATCTTGATGACACCAAACTGGCTGAGGTGATCTGTGTGCACCCCCATCTTGATAAGCATCATTTCAAAACCAGCTTTATTGAGGTATATTTTACATACCATAAAATTTACCCTTTTAAGTGTATGACTCAATGAATTTTAGTAAATTGACAGAATTCTGTGAACTTTACCATAATCCAGATTTAGAACATTTCCATCATCCCAAAAAGATCCTCTGTATTCATTTCCAGTCAATATCCATTTCTGCCCACTGGCCCCTGGCCCAGACATCACCAATCTTTCCTTATATATTTGCCTTTATGGACACTTCATGTAAACAGAAGCACGCAATGTGTGGTCTTTTGTGTCTGATTTCCAGCACTTACCCTCACCTTTACTGTTAGAGCAGTTTTTCCAACAGGTTTGTTCTAGATTATGGCCCCTCCTACAATCAGTTTTGCCAGTTCTGCTCTATTGGGTGGTACCCTTCACTGGTTATAAAGATGAACAAGCACCACATCATGCTAAGGTGAAAAGGTAACTTTTTATTTTATACTATAAATTTATTTATTTATTTATTTATTTATTTTTGGCTGCGTTGGGTCTTCGTTGCTGCGCGCGGGCTTTCCCTAGTTGCAGCGAGCGGAGGCTACTCTTCGTTGCAGTGCGCAGTCTTCTCATTGCTGTGGCTTCTCTTGTTGCGGAGCACGGGCTCTAGGCGCGCGGGCTTCAGTAGTTGTGGCACGTGAGCTCAGTAGTTGTGGCTCACAGGCTCTAGAGCACAGGCTCAGTAGTTGTGGCGCACGGGCTTAGTTGCTCCGCGTCGTGCAGGATCTTCCTGGACCAGGGCTTGAACCCGTGTCCCCTGCATTGGCAGGCGGATTCTTAACCACTGTGCCACCAGGGAAGTCCGAGGTAACTTTTTAAATGATTAAAAGAATATTACCAAGAGTGGGAAGTGAGAACAAGCACAACTACAAGAGTGGGTTGGGTGTATGTATAAAATATTTATTTGGAAGGGAAAAAATGGCAGCATTTAAACAAAACTGCAGAGAGGAGCATTGATACGTGTGACTTTTTCTGAAGACATTTTTAATAGTGTATTATTTTTAATTTTTAAAACAAAATTACCAGCAATTTTTCCAAAGTATTATTTTATAGTTACTGAATTTAAAATTGGCTCTTCTTTGTAG